AAAAAAAAAAAAATTATAGTATCAAAAGAGAAAACAGCCCTCATCTAGTTTCTGGGGGATGTTTCTAAGGGGAAGGATGATATAGGACAACTGCTGATAACAACTGTCTTCTGGTGATCCAGGCCCAACTGGAAAGATGCCATTAAGTTAAACAACTTCGCAAGAGTTGTTTTTCTGTTTGATTCCTAAAGAAACTGGAATTATTTCAGGCATTGCCTGTGGCTCGAGGAGTAAGGCACCAGCCCCATTTGCCCAGGGTAGCCAGTTCAAACCCAGCCCCAATCAAAAAATGGCAAAAAAGAAAAAAAGGAAATTGGAATTCCAACTATTTCTGCCCTTCTTATATAATCATAAAACAAGAATGCTTAACAGCTAAACGTATAAAGCAATGAGGAAAAACAGATAAATTTAACAATCTCTTGTTGGAAAGAAATATTATGTATGCTACTTTTCTAGAAGACCTAAAGATGAGAATCATCACTTGCTTTGGCTTTTTTCCCCCAGCTTTTTTGCATGCCCAATAGATGCATTCAGCTCCTAAAACCACCAAGATCGTGATCTTGCCCTTTTAAAAAGAAGTTCATTACTATTGGACAGAATCAATTAATAGTATTTTCAGGCAAACACCAAGCATTGTTATCTACAGACACAGTACAGTGACAAGGCATCAGACTATCAGGTTTATAACAGACAATAACAAAACCAAAGTTAAATAAAATGTAATAATGCTTTATGTTTTAGAAAATCTTATATGTCATTGTGTGAGCAGCTATCCCTGAGTCCTTAGCATTTAGCTAAGGCCTTTGCTCTTGGCTCCAACTGCAACCACGTGGCAGACTTCTACTTCAGCCCCCAGCTTCTGCAGTTCATCCAGCCAGATCATTTGCTTATGCGAAAGACGATCATTGGGGCCTTTAACTTCTACCAGCTGGAAGATAAATAAAAATTTATTTATTAGTATCTTACTGAAACTGAATAACCATCCTAGTAAGTTATAGTAGTTTTCACTAACAAAATATTTAAGTGGCTATTTACATATAAAACAAATACAGCAGACCACTCTGAGTTGACCAAGGGACTATAACAAACTGATCACCACCCAGAGGTGATCAACATAGTAACCAGGCCTTCCAGTACATGTGGTACATATCCAATCCACGGAAATCAGGTCAACTTCTGGAGGTATAGGAAAGTGGTCAGCTATCTGGAGTTCTACTGTATTTATATAGAAGGTCCTTGACTTATAGTGGTTCAACTTAGGATTCTTCATCTTTAAGATGGTGCAAAAGTCATATGCATTCAGTAGGAAGTGTGCTTCTTTTGATCTTTTCCCCGGGCTTGTGAGAGGTGGCACAATACTCTCATGGTGCTGGGCAGTGGCAGCCTCAGGAGAGCAAACAACTGATAGTGTGTAGAGTTGCTACATGGTTTCACCCAACTGTAGGTGCGTGTGAATGCTCTGAGCAGGGTGAAGGTAAGCAAAGCTAACCTATGTTCAGTAGGTTAGGCGTATTAAATGCATTTTCAGTTTATGATATTTTCAACTTACGATGTTTCTATTCTATAGAAACTGGACAGTTCTTCACAGAGAATTGGTAAATTCAGACAGTACAGCAATTGAAAACTTCTGAAGCATGTAATGGATTGTTACTCCCCTTTTTAAGACACTCCAGTTACTCTGTTACATTTTCAATTAAATCTAAACTTCTTGCCATGACCACAAAACTATAGGATCTGTCCCTGCCAAACCATTCCAAACCATCCCAAAGGCTCCTTCCTACCTAAAGGTCCTTTTGTCTGGACATTTCTCTCTGTTCCTCACATGCCTGACTTCTTACCCTTCAACATTCAGCTTAAAACTCGGAAGCCCGGCACCAGCACGCTTCTAAGTAGAACCCTCCCTATGCACTGCTTTCACAGCATTTATCATAAGATACTATTTATTTATTTATTACTATCATCTCCTCGAAGGCACAGATTTTGCCAGTTTGTTCACTACACATTACTATATCAAAGACTATAAAACTATCCCAGGTAAAATACACTTAATAAAATTTTTTTTTTAATAAACAGCATTCGGCAGCCTAATAGATATTTAATTAGAGTCCCCAAAGGAAAGCGGAAAGAAAAATATCTGAAGAAATAATGGCCAAAATTTTTCCAAATTCTATGAAAACTACAAATCTAATGAACTAAAAGTCAATGAATCCCAAGCACAGAAACATAATACCATAACAAGAAATACGATAATGAAATTAAATAATCAGCAGTAAAGGGAACATTTTAAAAGCAGCCAGAATTTTTAAAAGCCAAAAACATTTTAGCTAGGCACTGTGGCACAAGCCAATAGTCCCAAGTGAGGCTGAGGCAGAGGAGCACTTGAGCCTGGGCAACAAAGTCCTTTTAAAATAGGATAGATTGGCTCAGCACCTGTGGCTCAACCAGCTATGGCGCCAGCCACGTACACCTAAGGTGGCGGGTTCGAATCCCCAGTCCGGACCCGCCAAACAACAATGACGGCTGCAACCAAAAAA